AACTCAGTGCTTCATTTTGTGTGGCACTGAAGTTTTGTGTGTGTTTGTGATGCAGCATTATTACAGCAAATGTCAACTGAGACAAACATTAGGAAAGGCTGGGGATGCTGAGCCATCCACATGCTGCTCAAAAGAGGGTCTTCATTGTTGTTTACAAGCGCCAGGTTAATAAAATGCAACATAGGTCTTTTGGCAACTTACATGCACCTTTCTTTCTGTAAACCAGAAAGAATCAGAAGGCAAATGTTCATGCTGTTTGTGCAGCCCAGAAAGAATAGGCCATGCCAGGAAGTCAGATGCCACTGGAAATGCTGAAGATAATTCAGATTCATGAGTCTGAAGGAAGGGCAGACCCACAGTGCTAAGTATGATATTGAAGAACTTAATACAGACACGTAAAGTGAGTCTTTGACTAGTTAATTTGGATGTCCAATTATGCACTTCATTTATTCTTTCAAAAACATCTGAGTACTTGTTTAGGAATGAAGAGCTCAAAACTGAATGAGACTTATCCCCAATAGCTAGTAGGTAAGTTGAGCCAGACATGCAAACAACAGCGAGTTAAGAGAGAACTCCTTGGTTTCCAGAAGGAAGAGCCAAGTTCAGAGAAGAAAGATCACTTTTAACAAAGTTCTTAGGAAAAAGTGGAATTATACTTGGCCCTTGAACAAAGGCCAAGGTGTTTTTAATGTTGCTTTTTTAAGATCAGGATGCTATAGCAATACATAGCCACTTTGGAAAATGTTTAAAACACAAAAAAAAACCCCACAAAAGGATATTAAAACAATCAGTATCCCTAACCAACTAGACACAACCATTATTAATTAATGTGTTACCATATTTCCTTCCATTCTTTTCCTATTTCAAAATAAGAAGTTACTAGACTTCTGTCTTTTTTTTCCTTGCCTAAATTCTCATGGAGCATTTTTCTTTATCACTGTAAATAAAACACATACAGAGGAACTTCCTTCCAGGCCAGTTTTATAGCCAGTCTCCTGCTACTGACCTTGCCAGAACATAGCCAGTTGCCACGAGAAAAATATTTTCTCATCACGTCTTTGATTTGAGCCTCAGTCCCACCATTAGAAACCAGCCATCTGCAGGCTGATCTCTCTTTTTGGTCCTCCTATCTCCTCTCTTGTACAATTATGATCTTCAGTGTTCTACTTGTATTCTAAGAGAACTGAAGTTTGCATCCACTTTGCTGATTCCATCTCCTTAACATCAGCTCCAACCTTTGCTCCAGTGTGGATTTCCAGTCTGTCTTTGCTTTCATTTGGTTTGAAATCTGTCGGTTTTATTTTTAGTTTCTGACAATTATTCCATGTTTTATCCAATTCTTCCTCTTTATTTCATCTCTGTTTTTTGCTGGAGGTAATGTCATCCTGGATTTCTAACCTACATGATGATCCTACAACCCAACTGGCATCACCTGTCCTAAAATTAACAAGTCCAGAACCCCCATTCTGCATGCTAGGAAGCCTCCTGACATCCCTCCTAATATTTCCAGGAATTCCTGAAGGAAATCTATCTCTCCTACTTATGATGGCTTCATTTTCCTGTTTCCATAGCATCCTGAATCCTCACTTGGCATCCTGAACACACCATCGCTTCTCTAGGAAGTGTGGTCTCACAACCCCACCGCCCTGAGCCTGCTCACACAAAGAGCACTCACGACTGCACGGTTGATGGAGTGCAACACTAAGGTGCAGAGCACAGAGAAGAAATTAAAATCAAACACTGGATATCTGTGTTCCCAGCAACCCTTGCAGCCTTGCTGCCTGTGGAACCTCCCACGGGCCTGCTCTCCCAGGAGAGCTCACCTACTGCCCAAGGCTGACATCATCCATCCTTGGCCTCCTCTAGAAGCTTTTCTCATTTTCTCTGCCGCTTGCTCACCACCCAGGCCCCTTTCCAATCCCTGTGGCTTTTGTTTTGGTTTTGGTTTAGGCTTTTTTGAGACAGGATCTCCACAACATAGTCCAGGGTGGCGTTGAACTGGAATTCCTGGGTTAGTCCCTCCTAGCCCTCAACAGCCTCCACTTTTATTCCCATGTGCCATAGGCATGTACTTTTCTTCATATGCTGTGATGTTAAAAAGAATGTAAGGAAGCACTCCCCTGAGGATTTGCGGGGTGACACAGCTTTATAAGGTCGAGTACAGATAAAACCACATTGGGACGTTAGAGGTACCTCTAATGGTGGCACTCTGGGTGCCTGGATGGAGAGAGTGCTCACCTGCTCACCTGGAAGAAGAGGATGCTGCACTAGATGGAGTCATACGCTCAAGTACCAATGCCCTGCTCCCCCAAGGCCCGCCCTCCGGAGCACCCATTCCTGCTCCAGCCGTCAGGCCTGGCCACACCCCTTGTCATGGACAGTGGAACAGGAGTGGGAAGGCCGCGGGCCCTCCCCTTGTCAGCTGAAGCTCAAAGAGCATCACGAGGTTCCACTGCGTCGCTCGCTTCCCTTGGTCAAGAGACCAGTGTGAACCAACAGTCATTCTGGAGCCAAGGGGCCATGAAGCAGGGCTGCAGCTGACCCTCGTGGCCATTTAGGTGAACAAACAAAACTACGGATCTCTACTGCTGCCAGTGACAGGAACTCCAGAGTCACTAGTTGCAGGGTAAGATGAGGAATGAAGAGGCTCATGCGCTAGTCCAGCTCCAGAACACAAGTACCTGAACAGACGCATCCTCTCAAAGTCAGTAAATCGATTCAGTGGGCTCCAAAGACGATTAAGTCAGAAGCAAGTATGCTGCACTCTGATGACTAGAATCACACTGGGGCCCTGGTCCTGCCGGGGCCGGGTGTAGCCTGCTTCTGTAAATACCTGCCCTGCATTTGTTTAGTCTAAGTGGGAAGAGGCTGATTTCGTGCTGCTAAAGTTTGTTTCCCACTTTCTTTATGTATCCAATTCAAATGTTGGCTGTCTTCTTGTCATCCTCTTTGGGACTGCACTCCAAAAAACAAAGCACAGCTTAAAAGCATTAAGATACACTCTAGAATTTGCTGTAAATTTCATTGACAAGAAGTAAGGGGGCTTACATTACATAGAAGACAACAATTTGCTAGAGAAAAAAACTGATCAAATGAGTCTTTTCCCAAAACTCTCTTCTCAGCCTCACACCTAAAATTTCTCTCCCTTCCCAACTGAGCCCCACCCCTGGATCTATGCTCTATAGCATCCAAGAGTGCTACAAAGAGGACAGTTTAACTTTCATGCATAACATAGGCAATGCACCGAACTCAAATCCCTAAAGTCCTTCCTCTCAATGTGTCCTTCAGCCTTCTGCTCAAGAGTTTTATCAGCAGGGCCAGGGATTTAGCTCACTGGTTCTGCTGCCTGCCTCGAAAGCGAAAGGACCCGAGTTTGACCCCCGGTACCCCCCCCCCCAAAAGAGTTTTATCAGGAGAGATCCAGAACTCTGTCACCCAACACACCAGTGCTGGGGTTTGAAGTTCACAGTTAATTAATGTTTTTAAAGCCGTATTAGTCACTGACTTGACACTGGGACAAAATACCCAACACCCCTCATTTAAAAGAGGAGAGATTTGTTTTGGCTCACGTTTCAGAGGATTCAGTCCATGGTTAGCTGGCTCCAAGGCAGTATCAGTATGGCAGGGGACATGGTGGAGGAAAGCTGTGGCACAGCCCATGGCAGCCAAGAAGGGGAAAGAGAAAGGAGGAGCCAGAGACAGGAATACACCCTTCCAGGCCACACCGCCTGTGACCTCTCCAACCAGCCCCTGCCTCCTAACAGCACATTCAGCCATGAGGCCACCAAGGGATTCATCCACTGACATATAGAGGGCCCCCATGACCCAATCATCTCTGAATACGTGAAACTTTGGGGGGTTGAAAATGAAACAAAACATGGGGAAAGAGGAGCCCTGCTCCACTGCTGGTGGGAGTGTAGACTGGTGCACCACTGTGGAAGTCAGTATGGAGATACCTCAAGGAACTAGGGCTAGAGGTCCCATCTGACCCAGCTATACCCCTGCTGGGCACCTTCCCCAAAGAATTAAAAGAATCATACCACAGTGATATATGTGCACCCATGTTCATAGCAGCACAGTTTGTAATAGCTAAAGCTTGGAAACAGCCCAAATGCCCAACAACTGGAGACTGGATACAGAAAATGTGGTTTTTTAAAAGAAAATGGAGTACTACTCAGCCATAAAGAATGAGAAATTAGAGACATTTATTGCTAAATGGATGCACATTGAGGCCATCCTCTTAAGTGAAATAAACAGGACACACGTGTAAATATCAAATAGTTTCTCTAGTGTAAGAAACTAAAGTGTAAATAAGGACTAAAAGGTATAATAGATAATGTGAAATAGGAAGAAAAGGGGTGAAGGGGAAGTGGGAGGGGGAAAGAAAAGAGGGAAATGGAATTAATATGAGAAAATGAAAAAAAGGAAACAAAGCCTTTGTAAATAGGGAGGGATGGAGGGGTTGAAGGGAGGGCAGGGGAAGGGGGAAAAAATAAGAACCAAGAGAGTAGGTAAAGGTGCAAATCTCCAATGATGAATGTCATTATATTGTACACCTAAAATGTACCAATAAAAGGATACACAAAAAAAGAAAAAGAAACAAAACAAAATGAAATCTGAGGTCATTTAATTAGGTGCCTCTCTTCTACCAGCTAGCTATCATCCTCTGTCTGAGGAGACAAGAGCCTTAGTGGCAGACGTGGAATGAAGAGAGGGCTTCCAGATGGTGTCACCTGCTGCCCCGGGATTGCACACAGTGGGGCAACCGAGAAGAGCAAACATGCGGAGTTGGAAGAGGGGACAGGAAGCAGAAATGAAGGAGCAGTAAGTACAAGCACTGTCCACTTCAAAATGTGACCCAGGCCCAGCCCTGGGACAGCTTTTATTCTATCCGCGTCATTCCTCTTAAGGCTGCATGCAGCCCATCTGGACACATGGTCCCTGCAGTGGCTGTGATGGCAGCAATGCAGGGGAAAGGAAGACCGCGCAGAGCAGCTCACCTTCTGGGTGAAGTCGCTGGCCTCGTTGATGTATCGATCGCGCTCCTTTTCCAGTTGGAAGATGATCTTCCTCTGCTTCTGGGCCTCCTCCTTGTAGTTCTGGATTTCTTCCTCCAGATTCCGCTTGGTTTGTTCATGGAGTTTCACCAGGTCTACCTGCTTCTGGGTTGCATTTATAGCCTTAAGCATATTCTGAAAGCAAGGACAGTAAAGCCATCGCGTTACTCCCAATGTCTGAGGATTTGGGTTTACTCAAAGTTTACTCCCTACCTTAGCCATAAAAATAATCACATGCCTTCTCTTTTGCATGAATAAAAATAATAATATTCTCTACAGTTTATTAAGAGCCTATTGTGCTAATTTTGAACACGGCATTTTATTTATTTTTAAATTGCGATCATTTATTTGTTATTTATTTTTGAGATAAGGTCTTGCTACGTATCCAGGTAGGCCTTTAACTCTCTATGTAGCCCAGGCTGGCCTTGAACTCACAGTCCTCCCACTTCAGCCTCCTCAGTGCTGGAATTACAGGCAGGCGTACTTTAAATGCACTTATAAATCCACTAAGCAACCGCAGTGTCCCTGAGAAGTAGGCTGTATATGCTCCCGTAGTAGGAATAGGAAACAGAGACTGAAGCGTTAAGCTTCTTTCCTACAAGTTCATATAACAGGGCAGTGGCAGAGCCAGGACTGAAATGTATGGCTGGCTGACCCGAAGTCTATACTCTTTCACCTCCACCACAGCTCCAGCCTCTGTCTGGTGAGGTTAGAACAACTGAAACTCGTTACATAACTTGGACTCTGACCACCAAGTAAGATAAAATCAGCTTAGTAAAAATGTAGACACCTTGCCTTGAGTTAACATGCGACCCAGCCATTTCACTCCTGGGTGTACACCTAGAAGAAATAAAGCCAAACCTTGTAAGCGAATGCTCACCGTAGCACTATTCACAAAAGCCTAAAAATGCCCATCGGTGACGCGCACACCAACAAGACCGGTGCGTCCTCACGGTGGGATGAAAGCAAAGCACGGCCAGCGAGCTACCAGTGAGTGCCACAACACTGATACAACAGGAAACGCTGTCCTCATGGAAGATTCCGGGCACAAGAGGTCACACGAGGGATGAGCCCATTCGCATAACAACCCGGAATTGTCAGATCCACAGAAGCGGAAGGTGACTTAGTAGCTGCCCTGGGTAGGCAGGGAGAAGTGGGGAGTGACTGCTGAAGGGGACAGTTTCCTGTTAGGGTGATGAGGATGTTCTGGAAACAATAATGGTGAGAATGGCAGAACACCGTGAATGCACCACATGCCACCAAAGGTAAGTTTCGAGATTTTAAAAACGTTTAACATTTTTAAAAGTTTAACCTAGTTACTTTTCAAGTGGGTGCCACATCCCAAATTCACCCTTTCTGATTCAGTGGGTCTGCAATGGGCCTCAGCACCTGTACTGTTGATGTTTGAGGCCAAAATGGAGCCTCCGGTTGGCTACCCAAGGCCTGCAACATGGCAGGAACAGCAGGGGCCTCACCCACGGCCACAGCTGAACGGACCTGTGGCCCTCCCTGGGACTTCTGAAATGAGGGCTTTGAGAGAGAGTGTGTGTGTGTACATACGTGCGTGCTTTCTGGGGTTACACCTAGTCCTCATGCATACCAAGTAGGCCTTCTGCCACTACAGCTCTGCTACTACACCTTCAGCTCTCAGATTTTTGCAGCTTGATAGAAGATGTGAACTATGTTTCTGCCAGATGGACAAGTAAACAGTGCTCACTGAAAGACGAACAGACCGAAACCTAACAGGAAATCTGGTGATGGAGAGAAAAGGCTTCATCCCAAAAGTGCTAGGTCATGTTCCTGCCGCTTCCTGGGGCCCAAATACATCCTTGGGTACAACGAGGTGCCTTATTTTTTCTTCTCAAATCTCTAACCAACTCACACACAGGGCTGGCTCTGAAAACTGCTGGACCAGCAGCAGGTGAGATGCCCAGTGAACACTGGTTGGGTGAGGAAGTATAAAACCAGCTTTATTTTCATCAATTGGGTAAGCATTTGTTCTAGAAAAGACAAAGTCACTGCAAATGACACTGAAAGAACCACCATATATTCACATTGCTGCCTATCAAAACCATGCTTTCAATGAAGATAGTATTTCAAATCAGTGGGGAAAATTTTTAAAAATTAAAAAGTATATCCTTCCCTAAAGGAGGAACTGGCATTAATCAAATCAAATAAATGCAAAAGTACTGTTGTATTACCTGTCCTTTTGTGGCAAAAAATCTATTAGTTGTTTATTAGTAGATAACAAATATAAATTAATTAAATATTGAATATATTAAAAATAAATATAAAAGTCTAAATAAAATAGTACTGTTAAAATATATAAATTTATAGAATAAAGGAACCGTTTCCAAGATGTGGCGGGGAGACTTCAATAATTTTCAAAGGAATGCAGCATGGAAAGAGGTAACCTCCTACCATTTCCGGAGATTCTGTGGAGATTCTCAAAGTCAAGCAGAAGTGTACTCTAGTCCCTCCTCCACATCCACCCTACTGCCCCTTCTTCCCTGGAGGAACCTCTGAGCAAGAAAGTGGGCTTTAAATCCTTGAAGGCAGTCAATCTAAGTGACCGTCAGGACGGTCGGTCGGACCCCAAGTCAGGAGGGTGGGAAGCAGGAAGAAAAGAAGCCCTGCCTGCAAGGGAACGTCTCGAGGTCTGCAACTGCCCCCACCCCTGCCTGCTCTTTAGTCCACAACTCAGGTGCCAGAAGAGATGAGCCTCAAAACAAAAAAACCCTGTAACAAGCCCAGAAAGATAGGAGAAAAAAGGGTCAGGCTTCATAATCCCATCGTGCCATTTTCATACCTAATCCTTCAAAGTTAAAATTTAGTTAGCACTCACACTTGTAATTTTTGGATTAGCCGAAGTTGTAGATAATAGATATTAAATTCAGAAATTTTGATCAACTGCTGATGATGCTAAATAACACACAAGCAATGAAAACAGAATCCACAAAATACTCAGAAAGCCCGGACTGGTGTATATGCTAATTCTCCAAAGTCCTTTTGTGCTCCCTGGTGATAATGCAGTTTCAGTTCAAGGCCAGTAAATGGTAGACTGTAAGTAGCTGCTTAGAAGAAAACTAAGCATTATTATTTATTCTAATCTACTTTTGTATGCCGCAGAGTTTTCTTTTCCCACACAACTGGTAAAAAATAGACATTTATTTGCCAGCATTATTGTAAGAAACTCACCTTATTTAGTATGTCCCTCTCTCTCAGAAGCTCATCCATCGCTTTCTTATCAAGTTCTGCTTGTTTCTTAGAAGTCTCCACCTCTAAATTACCAGGGGAAAAAATAACAAATGTAGAAGCAATTCAAGAGAGAATCTGCCAAAGTCAAAGTGATATAAAAAGTGCTTCACGTGTTTATCTATAGCTATAAAACCACTATTAATTGAGTGATCTATGGTCCTCATTATAATTCGGTGAAGTGGATCATAATGTCCCACTAAATAGACAGAAACCGAGGCTTAGAAAGATTGGTCCACACAAGGAAAGACTGCAGTCAGGAGGCCACAGGGTTAAGATAAAAAGTTTGGTTCAAAAAGTTCTTGATCTTTTAAAGTCTTGTTTTTATTGCACAAGTAAGGAGAAATACAGAATAAAGTTAGAAAAACGTAAAAGGAGAAAAAAAGAAATTAACCAGAATCCACTTAGGATTTTGATATATTTCTCTCCAGACTCTTTTCTGTGCAAAAACATGTGTGTGTGTAAGCATACACAAATACACACATAGACACACCTGCCAAAACAGGAATTATGCTGTACACAATGTTTTGTTGCTTGTTTTTATAATTAACAACCATAGAATAAATGATTTTCTATAAGTGTGCATCTACACCAGGATTTTTAATAACTTCACAATGTTTTGCTATATGAAAATGTATAATTTATTTAGCCAATCCCTCATTTTAACATTTAAATTAACTCCAATAAAGTAAATAAAAAATAAATGGCTGTCAATTTTTATGTGTATGGCTGTAAGTGATAAATTTGTTACATTCTTGTCCATTTGTTCCTCAAAAGAGGAAGTCCTATTTTTTAAAAGATATTTTCCTCCTACTGCCAAATTTCTCTCTAGAAAATTAGTGACAATTTAAACCCACACCAAAACCACCAGTAGATTTTATCATCTGCTTTGATGTTTGCCAGTCTGATGGATTTCTAAAAACCAGTAGGTCATTTGCATATCTTTGATTAGTAGTAAAGTTGTCTGTTTTTATGCTTAATGACCATTTATTTGTATTTCTGTTTTTCAAATTGCCCACATTTACCCTTTGTCAATTTTTCTCATGAATTGCTTGTCTTTTCTATGTCCTTTTAAGGGGTTTACATATATATGTAAAGATACACTTTGACAGTATTTTGGTCAATTTGCCTTTAGAGTCTTATGGTAAAAGAAAATTTAAATTTTTATTTCATTGATTCTCTCAATTTAGGTTTTATTGTCTGAGTGTTTGGTATTATAGCTTCTTGTCATGCAGTCATTTTCAAAATAACCCATGCTGCATAAGTGGTATGCAACAACCCCTTAACTCAGCTGGTGATCTTGGCTTTCTTCTGGCCTTTTCAATCTTTTCTATTGATCTATTTATTTGGACACTATCACTACACTATTTGACTATGAAACCTTTATAACACATCATATAACATTTAAACATTTGATGAGATTATTGTTCAGAATTTTACAGCTATTGTTATATGCTAATTCTTCTCAAAAAACTCTAGATCAAGTTCTATACAACACAGCTTACTGAAATTTTTATTGGAAATATTAAATGTATAGATTAATTTGGATAGATCTGTATCTTTATCATATTGTTTTCTTATCAAGGAACTTGGACTATCTCCCCATTTTTCAAGTCTTCCTTTATACCCCTCAATAGAATGCTGCAACTTTGTACAAATACTTTGCAGATATCTCGGTAACTTCATTCACAGTATTTTATTGCCTTAATTGGTACTGTGAATGGAGGTTTTTCCATCATCTCTTCTAACTGATATTTTGATGCCAAAATAAAAGCCATTTATACATACGTATTTATGCTATAATCTGCCACCCTACTGAACTCTTGTATTAGTTCTGGTGGCCTTCCAGTTCCTTTCTTGCGGTAAGAAAATCATAACACAGGGAGGGCCTATGCTCGTAACTATTACACCCAATGCCACCGTTTGATCAGGTGTACCTGGCTTGGTGACAACATACGCCTACTGTCTCAGCCATTCCTGAGGCTGAGGTGGGAGGGTCACACTTCAGTCCAGGAGTTTGGGAGAGCATGGACAATATAGTAAGAATTCAGCTCATAAATAAATAAATCCATCAATCCTAGGTGGCAAGAGCAAGGTAGGAGGCATTATAACCCCAGACTTCAAGTCATACTACAAGGCCACAGTAGTAAAAACAGCACAGTCCTGGCACAAAAATAGACATGTCGACCAATGGAACAGAGTAAAGGATGCAGAAACAACCTGAAGCACCATCACCCATCTAATCTTTGACAAAGAGACCAATAACATAAGCTGGAGAAAAGAGATCCCTTTAGCCAATGGTGCTGGGAGAAGTGGCTATCCACATGCAGAAGGATGAATCTTGATCTGTATCTCTCATCCTGAACTAAAATAAAATCAAAATGGATCAAAGACCTGGATACAAAAACAGAAACACTGAATTTACTGGAGGAAAAAATTGGCAAAACTTCCCAAACAGATCCCCAAGTGCACAAGAAATAATACTAAGAATCAACAAATGGAATTATGTCACGTCTCCTGCATAGCAAAGGAAAGAACTAACAACGTGAGGGTACAATCTACAGAATGGAAAGCAATGTTTATTTATCAGCTACTCCTCAGACAGAAGGCTAATATCTACAATATCTACTCAAGAAAATTAGGTCATCACAAATGAAAGACCCAGTCATTTGAAATTATCCTCAGAAGAATAAATACAAATGGCCAAAAAGTCCATGAAAAAAAGTTCCTCAGCTTTGGCCGTCAGAGAAATGCAAATCAAAACAACACTGAGATCCCCCTCACTCCAGTAAGAATGGCCATAATCCAGGACTCAAGATGTGACATGTATATGTATCAAACCCCCAAGCTGAATGTAATCACTATGCACCATAAACATGTCTAATTAAAAAATAAAAAGGTCCCTAAGAAGAAATGACAATGTAAATAATATCTACAGCATGATGACTTTGTAAGTTTTAACTTAAAGATGAAAGAATTGAGTTCAGTGCTGAATGAATTTTTTAAAGAAATTTTTTTTTTCTCAAGGGTTAGAAAAATTGCAAGCAGAACCATAGAAATTTGAATACGGGGTGTTCTGTTGGTCACTCAGCCAGTGACATGTTCCAATTGTTCCATTTTCTCCACGTCTGTCATTGAAGACTTTAGGTTGTATGACATTTGATTTTGACTGTCAACTTGATTAGATTAAGACTCCTAGGAGATCAGTAAAGCGTGCTTTGGGTGGGTCTGTGGGTGTTTCCAGAGATGACTGACAGGTAGGCCAGCAAACCCAGGAGATGGCATGCCCTGACAGCAGGTGGGATTGACCAATACACTTGCAGCCCAGATGGAAGGAAAAGGGGAAGAAGGGGAGGCATGACGGCACGTCCTGTAACCCCAGCACTGGGGAGGCCAAGACAGGAACATTGCAGCAAGTTCAAGTCCAGCCTGAACTGCATAGTAAGACCCAGTCCCCAAAACACAGGGATAAAAGAGAAGGTGGAAGTTGGCCTGCACTAACAAGCTGAGTTTTGCTTGAGTGGGTACATAGAGATCAGACTCCAGCTTCTGTAGGCTTCCCACGTGGATTCACACCAGTGACTCTCCGGGGCCTTCAGCCCTGGACTGGCTCCTTCTTCCTCCTTCTAGAGAAACCTCACCAATACAACTGTGAGCTCACGACCTGGGGATTTAGCTCAGCAGTTTTGCCGCCTGCTACACAAGCACAAGGACCCGAGTTCTATCCCCGGCACCAAAAAAAAGAAAAAAAAGACAACTGTGAGCTCACACTAGGCTGTGGGTACCCAGACGTCAGGGACCTGGCTGTCCAAATGTCTGCACACAGTATGCATTCACTACACTGAATGGATGAGCGGAGAAACTGTCAAGACAACCTGCAACTGCAGCCCAATAAAAGATTATTTCCTAATGTCTTAGAAAGAAAAACATCTGCACTTCTTAAAGACTTAAATGGTAAATATTTCTAATAATCTTACCTAGAGATTAGATTTTACCAACTTACAGTGAGGCAGTGAGGCAGTGCATGCTTTGATGTTTGTGTGTATTCATCTCATTCATTGATTTATAACTCACAGCAGCCTGCAAGAGGTCAGCAGGACACAAGGGTCCTGGCATCCTGCCGTCAGAAATCACCACCTGAGTCTCTGTTCCCCAGCCCAGATCTATTTCTGCCACACCAAATTTGACCCGTATACCATATTGGTAATTATATTCTTATTCAGAAAACAGTAGTGTATCCATATGATAATTCCTGACATTTAGTATGCAATTGCTATACTAGATGCTGTCTGTAATCTTGTCCCAGACCATATAAATGAGGAACATTCATCTTAACACATCCCCTTATCTTCCATGGACAGCCCTAAGAGTTTACGTGCTGTTTACTCCACCGACAAATGCTGAGCAATACTTTGGGCTGGATTTACACTGTGCCAATAGAACCCTTGAAAGGATTTGCTAAGGTATTTAAATAACAACCCCTCCATACTGGCTGGTTACCAGTGTGAATGGTGTCATGTTGATTTCATTTGGCGTGGTGTGTTATATGCACAGAGTCCTGAGGGGCCAGATGACATGAATGAGATGTGTAAGTTAGTATCACTAATGAGATGTGTAGAAGTTAGAAGAAAACAAGGGCCAAGATGGTTTACCTCTCTCTAGTCCCAAGATCTGATTTTTTAGGGTTTCCTTGTGCTGCTCCACCTCTGCCTTTTGATCTTCGATCTGATGCAATTTCTTATGGATTCGTTCTCTAATTTTGTTGAGCTTCCCAATGTCGAGGTGCATTTGATGGACTTCCTCCTCTTTGGCCTGTAATTAGTAAGAGAATTCACTGAGAAGCTAAGTGAATAAAGGGCCAGGGAGTGGACAACGACAAACTCAGAACCGATAAGAAGAGTCTCCTAATGTCAGTGTAATGCTGGCCTGGGGGACTGAACCAAAATACACACTGTTTGGTTTCAAGAGAAATTGAAAAACTATGAATAACTTTATTCTCTGAATAAAATATGTGGCTATATAAACTAAAAAAGTGAAAAGACTGATAAAATCTGATGTTTCAAGTTACCTTCTAATTGTAGAGTCAAATAAGATGCAAATACGGAGTTGTATATATTACAAATATGTGGATTTTGCCTACAAATGCTGTAATCAATTAGCAATTTTCATGGACTTACAAAAAGTGATGTCTCTGACAAGGTTATTAACATGAGATAAAATATTTAAGCATTCTTTTAGATAGGGCCACTGTAGCCCTATCTCATGCAACTCCTTCCTGGAAGTATTTTAGTCTGTGGACACACACACACAGTGGAGTGAGCAAACCTAGAGAATGGGGAAAGGCTCCAGGAGAGTGACCCCAGCAAAGAAAACCTCCAGATTTTTGTCTATTGACTTCAAGTTTTATGGATTCTTAAAATCAAACTCACTTTTAAAAAATTTTGCCACTAGAAATGACTGGAAAAGTAACAGGATTCATCTTTAAACAGTGGTTAGCGGTTTTCTTGGTTCTTGACAAGGAAGACTGAAACTAGCTATGTGAGTTATCCTCAGCTTACTCTAGATGCCCAGTCCCACTAGGTATAGGATCTGAGGACATCTTTAAAGATAGGGGGCCCATATACTGGTCCTCAGGAGATAATATATTATTCTGACTTAAGCAATCATTTCATTTCTGCTTTAAATTATCAAAGTTTCATTTGGTTCCAAGTCAGCCCACCCTGGGCTGATTTAAATATCCCTCAGCCTTGGACCTTCAGACCTTAGAAGTTTCAAGATAGTTGACCATAAGGCCTCTTTCAATTCTAGGATTATGTAACTCAGTGGTTGTTAATCCAGACCTCTTGGTTAGATGTCAAAAAAAATCCTACAAATCTCATATTTCTAGGAAGAATGCAAAACAAGATGCAAGGTGTATGCCAGGCGTGGTGGTGCACACCTGTAATCCCAGTACTCGAGAGGCTGAGGCAGGAGAGTCACAGCCAGGGTTGAGCCCAGCCTGGACTACACAGGGACTTCACAGCCAGCCTGGACTACATAGCCAGACCCTGTCTCAAAATACAAGAGGAAAAAAAAATGCAAGATGTGCAAATAAGAATACATGTGTGCATACATGTGCATGCGTGAGTGTGCTTGCAACAGATTCTCAAGAGAGTCTGTAACACCAAAAACGTTATGGCTCACTGCTCAAATCTATATCCTTTATGTCCAATATTCTAACATAACCAAAGTAGGGAATATGAATTTTTCAGAATTAAAGTAATAAACATAAAGCCGCTCTGTTAACTATAAAAGCATACAAGTGCAATATGTATCTGAGTATAAAAGTTTATCCAAGCTTAACCTGCAAGTACTCTTTAATGATGGGAGGAAGAAGAACAAGAAATGTTCCTTGAACTACACATTAGACAGTAGCAGTATGACTCTACAGTCCTAAATATAAATACCCAATAGTCCCACCCTACTTTCTCCAGAGAGTAAAATACAATCTCGATTCTTTGCTTCTCACACTCATAGCTCTGGGCAACTGGTTACTTGCAAGTCCAATTACAGAGATGAACACCTGAGCTTGCTTTGGAAAGCATTTGTATAGCCATATGATCAATAATGAAGTTTGTGATTTTATAAGAAAGGAAGTTTTCAAACTGCTTCTGGGCATAAAGCAGTCGTGAGAGGCTGGCACCTGCCTGTGATGTACCAAGGCTACCCAGTCCATCCAAACCCATGTTCCGGGATGAGGAGGAAGGGAGAGTGAGGGACAGACAGGTCACTTGGTGTTTACTTTGAGCTCCAGCGCCTTCTGCTGATTTTCCTGGGACAGCTGCTCACAAACCAAACTGTGCTGTTCGTTCTCTTGCTGAAGTTTAGAATTTCTCATCTGGAACTGCTCGAGTTCCTTGGCAGCTCTCTCATTCAGTATCTGGAAGGCATGGAACGAAGGAACCGGTTAACACTTTTTAATCTGATTACAGTGTCTGTATGCACATGCAGGAGGCTCAAGGAGCCTCCTGGGGAGGTAGCAGCAACCACACTTTTTTGTCTTTGTAGAAATTGTTCTTTATCCCCAGTGAAAGCTCTCACACACTCAAATATGATGAATGTTAAATGGCTGGGGAAAATGACGCCTCCTGATGAATAACACAGTGAGCATAATTTTTTTTTCTGAAAGCCTTGGGAAGTCTTGTTCACAGGTGGTGGATAAATATTTTAATGCCTGTTTGCCATTTGGCAGGCTTTACATACGCAACAATTGCTATAATCATTGCAAATGAGCTGGAGATTCAAATGGTTTTCTCAGCACTGGGGTTTGAAGCTGCATCTTCAGAAGTAAATCCAGCATTAATATGCCTACCACACTTTTGTAAACAGAACTGCTCAACACACCAGCATGGTGACAATTCTCCTAGTCCAACTTTAGTCAGAACTGTGGGATGAGGGTGGTGTGATTTATATCTGTCTGGCTTCAGTGTCAGCAGGATTTTCCCCCCTCCTAGCATGACTATTCTGAGCAGACACAGTGTTATAAAAACTGTGGATTATATCTAATATCTTAGGAGATAGTTTCTTTGGGGGAAGTGGAGAGATAGCAAATGAGCTAAAGAAATTGGTTCCTAAAGAACAGGCACTTTCTCCAAAATGTAATTCCCATGCATGCAAAAGAAAACTAGACATGGAAAAAATACACCCAATTCCCAAATAATAGGGACTAAACAATATGTAACTGGCTTGCTAAAGATGAAATTTTGTTTTACATGGGTTCTGGATGCTGCTATACAAAGCACTGTGGTTTTATCCTGAGGTTCAAAAGCCTTTCTTTTAAATTTCATGTTCAAAGAAGCCTGGGGTTTTTCTCCTGGAGACAGCATATTGTGCATTATCTATTTGAATTCTGGGTTTATATAAAATTAATAAAGCAATTGACAAAGAATTGTATTCTAATACCTATTTTTTTTATGTAGAAAAGTGCTGTACATCTTGACAATTTTTTACAAAGGACTTCCTGAGAGAAAATACTTTCCAGAAAAAAAATTCAATCATATTAATTGCTTCCTTAAGAAATGAGAAATCAGGGCCCAGATGTAGCTCAGGGGTAAGGCATTTGCCTTGCAGGTGCGAGGGCCTGGGTTGGGTCCCCAGTGCCTTGAGAGAAAGAAACAAAGAGAGAAGGGGGGGACATGGGATGAAAGAAAGGAAAGGGAAAGGGAAAGGGAAAGGGAAAGGGGAAGAGAAAGAAAGAAAGAAAGAAAGAAAGAAAGAAAGAAAGAAAGAAAGAAAGAAAGAAAGAAAGAAAGAAAGAGAAAGAAAGGAGAAAGAAGAGAGAGAAAGAAGAAAGAAAGAGAAAGAAAGAAAGAGAAGAAGAGACAGACAAGAATTACTAAAATTTGTGTTAAGCAACTATATGAGGGGGAAGTTAAAAACATCATATCAAAAATGCATAAACATTGACTATGGCTTTCTAAACTTGAAACTAAAGAATAACCTGTGAGGAGTAAATCATGTCATTCTCACGCAGTGCAATACTATGCTGAACCGTGCTCCACAGAACGTTCAGTGTTGTAAGTGTTCCCTATCTGCATCACCACAATAACTGTTATCCACACGGAGCTGCTGGACACTGGAAAGGACACTAGGGCACCTGAGGGCATCAAAGTGAACTCTAATTTCACTCACTTTTAATAGCTGTAAATAGCCACACACGAGGCTCTGTGGCTGCCACACAAGCTACTGCAGTTCTATGACTGCATGCTGTGTCATCAACCGAATGCAACAGAAGTTAGACACAAAGCAACATATCTACTGCATGTTTCATTTCTGTGCAAAACTAATGTCTGCTTACGGTGGGGAACATAGAGGGCCTTTCGGAAACAAAGGAATGGCAAGGGGACACCATGGGGCTTCTGGGATGCTGGCAATGCTCTGTTTCTTGGGCTGGGTACAGGTGACCAAGATGTGCTTGAGGGGTGACGTTCATCATGCTGCATGCCGTGACACGCACACTTTTGAGTGTTGTATTATATGCCAAAAAGAAATTCACTGCTGGGCATGGCCACTCAAGACTGTAATTCTAGTGACTTGGGAGCCTGCAGCAGCAGAAACATTAGTTCAAGTCCAGCCTTGGTAATTGAGCAAGACTCAAAATAAAAAATAAAAAGGGGCTGGGGATGTAGTTCAGTGTGAAGGTCTTTGCTCTAATTCCCAGCACGAAACTATTGTAATAACAATGATGGTGATAACCCTATGAGAGTCACCGGGAGTGGAGGGGAGGATGCATAACTACCTCAGAAGAACCATTCAGAGACCCAGCTGCTTGCTCGGCCTTGCCCGTCATCCGCAGTGGAGGCCCTCGCTGCTTTCTCAAAAGCCCCGAACAGGAGTGAAGCCAGGCACTGTCCTCAGCCTCCCCACAGCCAGGTGCGCCCAAATCACCTTCTGCTCCTTGAGCTGCTGCTCCAGCTGCTGCAGCTCCTCCTTGCTCTTCTGCACATTCTGCTGCAGAGCCTTGATCTCTGTCTGCCTCGTGTCCATGTCCATCTGGATTTGCTTGAGCTCCTTCTCCAGTTTCTCCTTCTTCCGAGACTCCCTGGAAGCCTCATTCTGGTGATGCTGGATTTCCTGTTGGAACTTTGGGGCAGGGCGCACATGGGACAGGAAGGAGAGAGATGGCTGTCACCTGGGTGGTCCCACCCTCTCTCAGGCCTGTCACTGCCAGGCAGTCACTGTGGCATTTGCCGTGGGACAGTCATCCTGAGCCCAAGCCTTTCGGGAATTTTCCATATTGTTTTTCAGGACCTTGTTCCCCGATGTCACCCCTGATGGCCAGCAACAGATGAGCAGAGGATGGTATCAAGTCAACCACAGAGTTCTGGGGTTGAACACAGAAAGAATCCATCCGTTCCTGCATGGACATGGACTAAACAAAATGTAGCCAGCTGCCCTAAACCTCAGTGGTGTTCGACACACTCCCACGGACGCTAAACAACACTGCGGTTTCCTGGTTTCCGCTGAAAAGCCTTCTTTCTGCTTATGCTCAAGTCTCCCACCTTTTTCTCCTAGACTGCACACACGTTTTCCCATTAGACTCTGGCTTCATGCTCCAGAGGACTCAGCTGAATGGCTTCCTACAGAGGAGAAGGCCAAGGGCACCCCTTCCACCACGCCCAACGCAGGACCCTCGGCCTTCACCGGGACACCAGCTTAGGGCCGGACTGTGAGCAGCAAGTCCTCACCTCAGTGCCCCTCAGAGCCCAGAGAAAGGACAGCTCAGGAAAAACTGCTTCTGGGAGAGCACACCCGGGAAGCAAGCAGAGGATGCTTGGTTTGGCACGAGAGAGGAGCGGAGCCAGTGGGAAGGGGACAGGAGGACAGGACGTCCTGCGAGGCAGCTTCCTCCCCGAGGCTGCCCTCAGAGCCCACCTGACTGATGGCCTGCTCTGCCTCCTCCTTGGCGCGCTCCGTCCCCTGCTGCTGCTCGGTGGTCTGAGCTAAGGACTCCCGTAATTTCACCACCTCCGACAGGAGCTGATCTCGCTCCTTAGTCACTTCTTCTTTGAACTTCAGTAAATCTCGGATGCTAAAAAGCAAGAATTCGGGAGTCAGGCTAAATAGTCATCTGTTCAGGGGCCCCTTCTCTCTCGTCCCCTGGACGGTCCTCCCAGGAAAGTCTACAGGCCGCGGTGGGACTGGACTCTCCAGCCCTGTGGGGAGCATGGGGAGCTGCTGGGAGACATTCACTGATCCCGAGCGCCAAGAATAGTAACTACAGTGCAATTGACCCCTTTTTAATCTTTAAGAAAACACAGCATCTATTCATGGAAAGCCAGGGCCCTGGCACTGAGCTACATCTCCAGCCTTTTCTGTTTTTCCGGACATGTTCTCATGAAGTTGCTAAATTGCCCAGACTGGTCTTGAACTTGCAGTCCTCTTGCCTTAGCCTCCCGAGTGCTGGGATTATAGCCATGTACCACCATGCCTGGCTTTATGTTGTGGATTCTAAAGGCATTTTTATGGAAACCCAGAAAATCAGGAAACAGATTATTTCTGAGGAATTTAGACTGGAAAACCTGGGAGAAATGATACTTCCCACACCTCTGTATTATTTGGAACTGTTACAATAATACTATATTGCTGTTGTCAAGTCTTGTAATTAACCCTAAAGAGATGTCAATTTAGGAAATTATTCATTTAATATATCCACTGGAGGCTATGATTACAGCTATAAAGTCTAAAATAAAATGTAAACATAAGCAAATAATATGCATTGCCAATTTTCTTTCCATTCACTCGAAGAGATTTGTTTTTCCCAAAAGGATGCGGACTAGACAAAATGTTCCCTAGAACAAAACTTAGAAGACCACTCATGATGCTGGATTTTGCAGAGCCTGTGATTACATTTATTGATTTGAACAGGAAACCAGTCACCTCCCCATTTCAAAAACCATCCCCTCTGATCTGGCACGACTTTCTGCAGACTTAGCGCTTTGTGAGTGGCAGCTGTGTCTGCTACAACCTCTGCAGCAGGGCGGATCTGGAGCCAGGCAGCTCTGAGCAGAGGGAAACCTGCCCTGCAGAGACCCTTGCAGCTGACAGCCATCGAACACCTGCTCGCAACACTGCAGTGTAGCAGTGCTTATTTACCAACATCTGGAACACAGCACAAATGTTTAATAAGGAGCCTTCCAATCCATACCCAGCGCTTCTTCTCTGGAAAAACAGCCTCTATACCAAGTTACTATGAGTCGAGACACCTGAGCACATTGTTTATGATAAAACTCTGAGCTGGACAGTGTGTTCAGTTCTCCTCCCCGCTCTCTTCTGATTCTCACTAAAACTCCCCCATGGGAGCCAGTTCCCATGCTTTTCTCTCCCATAAGTGCTCTGAACGTGCTAGAGCAGGACGGTGCCCGTAACTGCAGGACTCACATCTTCGGGTTGGTTTTCTTATTCCTTCCCCCTCCACCTACACCTGGACTATCTACCAAACTTGGGCCAATGGATTAAGCAACCAAGAGTCAGGCGGGGGATTTAGCTCAGTGGTTCCGCCACCTGCTTTGCAAGCTCAAGGTCCCGAGTTCGGGCCCCGGTACCAAAAGAAAAGAAACCAAGAGAGCAACATTAGATTTGGTTATGGATGCCTGGGGAGGTGTATGCCCATTCCCGATTCACTGCTTAATGTTATGCTTTGCATGACCAGTGTGGTGCCAGACTCTTACAGGGATATAAACGAATCTTCTGCCCAGAAGTGCACAGCCTAATGGGTAGAGAAGCTCAGTAACAGATAATTCCAATGCAATGTAGTCTACGCCATACTGGAGGTAGATGCTGGGTCCTACGGAAACGGAGAATGCTGTGACTCACTCTACCTCTTTGTTGGGGTCTGAAGGCAGAGAGGAGGCTAGAACAGAGACGGCTGATGGACACAAAGTGAAGACAGCATCTGACATGGATCTTAAGGGATGAATAGGAGTTTTTGACAGGGAGAAGGGAAGAAAGGTATTCTGAGCATAGAACGTAGTGTGTGGGAAGGCATGAGGGCAGGAGCAATATGGTGTGGCTGGACAGAAGGCTAGAGAAGCTACCAAGGCAGACTTATGACAGACTTAAAACGGTGTGCTCGAGATTCCCGGCTTTCTCCTTTGGGGATAGGCAGCTACAGGGAGTGTTTCCGCTGTGGACAGGTTGCGTGGTGCTTCAGAAGCACGGGTCTCAAAGCGATAAAGAGGGAGATGTCTTCCTGCAGGGACGACCAGTTGGAAGGGTTCTGCCCACCCCAGCGTGGCTCGGCAGTAGCTCCAGCCCCAGGAGAGAGAGAGGAAAGGTCAGAATCAGCATGGACGAGGCAAGGCTTTCGGGGACGAAGGAGCGGCAGGGGAAGAACAACCCTGACCTCTGGCCTGGAACCTGAGCAAGTGAGAAGGAGCCCTAAGAGGTTAATCATGCTGGGGAGGAGGAGGAGGAGGAGGAACAGAGGCAGCCGGACCCGTTCTCCTCAGGTCTGCAGGAAATAAACCTACGTCTTTACTGTCTTGGTAACTGGAGTGCTGATTCTTAAAGAACCAGAAGTTTAAAGTAAGCACAAATTGGAAGCTCTTTGGTGTGGAGAAAGTGAGTATTAGAAAGAAAAGTCACAGCAGAAAATAATGTCTGGGAATGGAGAGGTTTGCACTTCAGAGAGCTGTTGGAGGAGACGCGTGCCAGCCCCGGGCTGCCGCTCCAACCTTCCCTGGGGGAGGCTCAGAAACACCACGAAGACTTCGACCTACTTGCTGTCCTGGTTCAGTGACAGTCCAGACCCTTGCTCCACTAGTTTGGTCAAGTTTACTATTTCCTCTTTCAGGGCAAGAATCGTCTCCTTGGCCTTCTGCTCCTTATCATAGGCCGAGTCCACCATCTTCCAGGCCTTTTCAATTTCCTAAATGGGCCACAGGACACCAGTGAGAAAAGCCAAGCTGGGTTTCAGGTGCAAGATAAACAGCAAACAGAAGAAGACCATGGTGACCGTGCAGCGGTCATGTATGCAGAAAAATATTCCATATTATACATCATACACTATGCATGAGTCTGTACTGACTTTTTGAATTGTTCAACATGAGCCAGCCAACAGTGAATAGCCCAGTTAAAGGAAGGGAACTTTTGGCAAGGAGTATTTTTCCTTCCATAGGTAAATGTGGCTACAAGGTCCTACAAGGGCTACTCTACCTAGGGGGGGTTATTTCTTACAAAGAAGTTGATAAATTTGCAAAATTATAAATGAAAGCTTAGCAGGATATAGCAGCACATGCCTGCAATCTCAGCAACTGGAAGAATGAGGCAGGAGGAGGATTATAAGTTTGAGGTCAGCCTGAACTACATAGTGAGACCCTGTAAAAGAAAGAAAGAAAGAAAGAAAGAAAGAAAGAAAGAAAGAAAGAAAGAAAGAAAAGAAAGAGAGATAAAGAAAGAGAGAGAAGGAAAGAGAAAAAGAGAAGGAAAGAAAGCTTATGTTTTCCAAAAAAAGGCTTTATCACATAAGGAGTGATCATAGATCCAAGCCCTAAACTGACAGATTGAATAGAGTCTCTTGATACATTTGCAAATAAAAATGTACTTTGTCCTCAGATCCCAAGTGAGCCCTGGCTGGTGAGTAAGCTTCCGGACACAACATAGCGAGGCTGCTCTTTGTTGGTTTGAAACTGTGCACAGCAACCTTGGCAGTTCCCATTTTCAGAAGCCGAAACCCACGCCTGCTCATCAAGTGATTGCAGGGAAAAACAAAATCCACAGCAGGGAATGGAAACAACAACTCATGCAGCGCTGGAGCCCTTACTGCTACGAAATGCAATGTGGACTATTCCCATAAATATTTAGAAGTAAACTAAGCCATTTGAGTAAAGGAACGAAGCAAAGTGAGTGTCAGTAACACCCTTGATGTCGTCCTGCCGTTAACTGTGTTGCAAAATTTTGTCAAGTGGAATGTGGATCCTTTACACTGATAAGAACCTGCAAGATTTAGTTGGAAATGTTCCACTTTTATGTTGGTGAGGAATAAGAAAGAAATGTTGACAAGAGCATTTAATTTAATAAATTCATGCTCACTATTACATTAGACAAAGAACTTACTGCTGAGTAACCACAGCCCATAATCTAGTGACTCAAAATAAAATGTCAGTGGATGTGTTCTTATGCAGCCACCACATGTACTATTATTGGTAAAACAAAAGAAGAATATTTAAATGAAAATACGATCAGATAGTTCGGTCCAAAGAAACTTTACCAATTAGATTTTAATCAATGCTAACTTCTCATTTTTAAATTTAAAATGAAAGTGTTTTTTCCATCATAAAATGAATTTAAGCTTTCTCATATTGGTTTTTAAGCATTGAGAAGAAAAAGTGACAATAGAGAAAAATTACACTGATGCACTGAGTAGTTTCTAAGAAAACAGATAAAACTATATTGTGTATGGATCTTGAAGCTAATTTGAATTGGGTAGCATCTAGTTACATGGTATTAAGGGAATTACCTAAAATGTTTATAAATTAGTTCTCGTGACTAGGGTTTTAATTATAAATTAACATCTCAAACTTTTATCACCTTAGGAACAGCAGGGAATGTGCAACATATTTAAGGAGGAAAAATATAATGTGAAATAAAGTCATGCATACTTCCTCAATATTCCCCAGATAGAATCTCTGGTTCTTTTGTTTTGAGGAATTAAAATGATCAAGGGAGAAACACAGTCAGGAGTGGTTGAAAATGAAAATTACTCTCTGGGAATTCTCCAAGTAATACCTTCTGAAGCAGGAGAAAAAGTAGAAATAGAAAAATATTTTTAATAAGCTCTCATATGTGTAATTGCTCATCTTGCCCCAAACACGACATATTGCATTTACTTATCACTAAATCTTCTTGCTCTCCCATTACTTCCCAGAAACAAAGCCAGTAAGATTCTCTATTATTTTCTGGATGGTGAAATTCACCCAGGCTAACTATTTTCTTCGAGAATGAATAGTATTCCACGGGCTTAATGAATATATAAATCATGTAAAATCTTACCTAATCACTAGTTTACTTCCTGCCTAGAGCTGCAAATGGAAGGGAAGAGTGATGCTTTAAATATGAGCCCATCCAGTGCTGGTCACTGACCTTCTTCAGGGATGCGATGGTGGTCTGATCATCCTGAGACAGCTTCAGGGCAGTGGCGACCTTCACAGAATTCACCACGATCTCCGCATTCAGCTCTCTGCATTTGGCCATCAAACGCTTTTCATTGTCGTAAGACTTTTTCATAATGGCATGAAGCTTCTCATATTCGATTCTAAATCTTTCCAGACTTTTGTCACCTGAAAGTTCACTGAGAACCTCTTGAAAATCTTTTTCAATTTCTTCAAATGCAGTTTCTTCCAGCACTAGCTTTTGAACCTTTTCCTGTATAAAAGAGCAGGGATGGGAATCTGCATCCCAACAGTTACCCCATTATTGCCAAGGAATTACTGCTATTATCCCTGAATGAAAGACCTTGATGCAAGCAAAATAAAGCCCCTGGCAAGCAGAAAAATTGAGATGCATGTTTGGAAGTCTCTTTTTTCATTTTCATTTCCAGATATTCATATTGGAGTAAGTTGGGTTCTAATTTAAAATAACCTAATGTTGTAACAGACACACACACACACCACGAAGGTGACGTAGAGTGATGCAGGTGTGATCTAAGGAAGGCTAAGATCTGTCATCCGCTAGCAGAAAGCAGAAAGAGGCGAGGTAGGATTACTCTGGTCTCAAAGGGAGCACGACCCAGCCAACATTTTGATTTAGACTTTAGAACTGTGAGACTAATAATAATAATAATAAATAATAATAACCAGCTATCTTAAGCCACCCAGTTTTTGGTACTTTGTTATGTCTGCTCTAGCAGATGAATATATCCACTTCTTATAGGGAATAGCACAAGAAGCAGAATAATTTTTAAAGGTATTTATTCATTCATTCCACAAAGTGATTTCTCCTCTTCCCCATGGATGCCAGTGATTGAAATGAAGGCCTCACACATGCTGGGCCAGCACCCTACCTGAGCTACATCCCCGGTCCCAGTTAGCAGATATTTGTTGAACATTTGCACTAGGTTAAGCTCTGCAGTGAAGCCTATAGGAGATATCCAGGTAAGGAACAGTGACCCATCCACAGGAGTTTATATTTTCTAGCTGATGGAGTATGTTAAGCAGATAATGGAAGTACAGAATTGGGTCCCTGTCATAAAATGGATACCGAGTTCTGTAAGAGCCTGGTAGAAGAAAGATTTATACCTAGAGGCAAGAATAAAGCAAATGTCATAAAGGAAGTGGCATCTGAGCAGGCCTAGAAGGAAGAAAGGAATTTTCACCCATGGATATAGATGAAAGGGCTTTCTTGCAGATAACAAAGTTTAAGCAATAGCTCAGGGCCAAGCAATATCCAAGTTGGCTAAAATGAAAGAGGTAACAAGGAGAAGGAAAGAGAAGACCATTAGAGTATGAGAGCCAGCCTGGAGACGCCGAATGGCATTCTAAGGAGTATGAGTTGTATTATAACAAAGGCCACAGAGAGCCAAAGCAGGACTTTTGAGTAAAGAATTGATAAGGTTTACAAGGCCTTACTTACACTTGCAACATTATGCTTTGGTGTTCTACCCTAAAGGACTTAGCATTAACACTCTACAGATAATCAAAGAAACCAACTGAGACAATCTCTAGTCTCAATAGTAGAGTAAAACTCCAATTCACCCTTAAGATTTTGGAGAAGTAGTGGGCCAGGGATGTAGCTCAGTGGCGCTGTGCCTGCCTAGCAAGCCCAAGGTCCTGAGTTTGATCCCTGGTCCAAAAAAATAAAAAATATTTCGGGTAAGTAGCCAAGTTTAGCTTCTGTTTTCACAAGTCTGTTTTGCCCAATATGAATAAAGTCTACGTATTTGTAGTTTTCAAATCCATTTATACTATTAACTAAATATCTAAAGATGACACGTAAGCAAAATGTAATCTTTGGCGATTAAAATAGATGTAGAATCATAAGCACACCTATAACATTGTGTATAGCAACTTTAGCACTAATTTTAGACTCAAGAGATATTTCCTCCCCGAATAAAGTAGATTATTGCAAAGAGTACAATGCAGTAGCAATTGTGCAAAGGAGGAAAAATCATAGTAAAAAAATATGATGTTGCCACTGCTCCGTGCTTCCCCTTGTTGATGTTAAACAAGGGCACACACAAAAGTTTATCACAATGATGTTCTCAGTTATGGCAATAATGTCTGACTTATTTGCAGCCCATGTTTTCTCTGCACACCTGGCACCTAGCACTTAGGGTTGGAAAAATATCAGAGAAAGAAAACTTTTATGAACAAAAGATTTTCTCATATTGTCCTTTAAGAAGTATACTCTTGGGCTGGGGATTTAGCTCAGTGGTTCCGGTGCCTGCCTCCTAAGCGCAAGGACCCGAGTTCTATCCCCGATATCAAACACAAAGAAGTATACTCTTAAAAGAAAAGCAAAAACAATATCTTAGTTGCAGCTGAAAGCTGCTGGCATCTACAGTCTTAGGTACACAATGGTAAATATTTCGGAAACACAGTATCAATGCGAGCTACCTACCCTTCATTCTTCTCCTAGCCTGACTGTTGCTAACGGGCCAGGTACTGTTCTAGGTTCACAGAAAGGAGGAAAGGGGAAATGAAAAGACAGCCACACTCTGAAAGCAGAGTAGGAATAAAGGAATTGTGAGAGCAGAAGCTAAGAAAAGTTAGTTATAGTCAAGTGAGAAGAGAAATCACAGAAAGTAAGAAATAAGAGGAGACAATAAAAGAAAGGCTACTGAGAAAGAATTAGCTCGTAGTATTGGTATCTGGGGGTTAGTCATAGAGAACGAGGAATAATGAAATAAACCCAGATAACCGGTCAGGGAGAAGAAGAGGAAACACTCAAAAGCAAATAATGGAAAATGTGAAGGAGACCTAGAAGCACCAAGAGGAGGAAATTCGAGGCAGAGAGAGATGGGTGAGGCTGGGTAATGAGGACAAGCGGTGTGGTCACAGCAGCACAGATGTCAGGAGATGAGCGTGGCCAGCCAGAGAAGAGGAAGCGGGACCGAGGATAAGGAAGCGCAGCGCGGGGACCACAGGAAGTGGGGTCTACAACGGGACACTGTACTCAGAGGAGGTGGAATGACCAGAGGAGGCAGCTGGTGTAGAGGAGACCCAGGAAGCAAAGTGGGTGGGCCAAGAGGGTGCTAGGAGAAGCAGGCTCCAGGGCTGGCCTCAGGGGCATGACGCCTACACCCTGCTCCCGGGCTCCAGGCTCAGAGGAGCCCCAGCCCTGATTAATGCACTGCTGTCCCGGCTTCAAAGCCCTAATGATTTCTGAATAAGAAGCTTTGTGTTTTCATTTTGCACCGGGCCTGGAAAATCTTGTAGCTGACACTGGCTGGAATCTCTCCTGGTAAGGGTGAAGCGAGGGAGGACTCTGAGGAGGTAATGAAGAATTGGGCAGGGCCATGTCGATGGGGACTGTAAATGGCAAGGGAAGTCAGGGCGTCGAGGCTGTTGAAGTTAGAGATGGGAGGGCTAACGGGCAGGCAGGGGTCACCGGAATACTGCAGAAGTGCCCCCCCCATCTGTGACGCTAAAGATGGGGTGGACCACAACAAGGGGGGAGAGGCCTGAGGCTACGAGGTGGAGGTGACAGGGATGAGTCTCAACCCAGAGGGACAAGGAGGAGAGGTCCGGCAAGAGGCGACAGGGGGGCGCTGACTCCTGACCTCAGCCATCCTGATGCTGCCTGGGGACGGCCTCAAAGGCTGCTGTGTAGATCGCAGAAACTGGGCGAGAGTCTGGGGAAGGGGCCGTGCAGAAACTCAGGGCCCAGCGCGTCCTCCCGTCACCTGGCAACGGCCACGCCCCCTGGGGCACCGGCCGCGTTCGAAAGGGGAGGGGCCACCCCCTGGTTGGTGTCCTCAGAGAAATATGCAAATAACGGGGCGGAACTCCTGAAAGGCTGGGAGGGTCCCCAGATGTCAGCAGAAGTTAGAGAGGTGGAAGAGAAGGGCTTTGTCTGCACTTCAGACAGAGTTGAAGTAATTAAATTCCTTCATAAAATGTGTAAGACCCCTCCCTGGCTTTATTTTTCCTTTTCATATCCATCGCTATTCCCAACTTTCATCCTCGGTCCCATAGACATTCATTCATTCATGCTACTGTGCTTGGCTACATATTATTGAAAAATGTACATAGCATGTTTATCAGAGTATTTCAAAAGTAGGTAATGGTATTTGACGTTAGAGATCGTAGTATGTTCTACTTTTTTCATACCAACCATTCTTTTTAAGGATCTGTCTTTGTAATCCTAGTTCATTGTTTTTCATTGCTGCACAGCATTTCAGATGAAAACTCCGTCACATTTTATTTCCATTAACCAAGCATTAGCTAAAAGACTCCTTCCAGTTCTCCAGTGCTGTACCACAAACAGTGTAGCCATGATCGTTTTTGTCTGTGGTTCATTTTATGGACCCGTGTGCAGATTCCTCTAAGATATATGCCCAGGCCAAGTCACAAGCCTTTACATTCAGTGTCTGGCACTGGGGGAAAGCCAGCAAGGAACATCCACAATTAATCCCAACACAATATGTCACTATTTAATCCACACCGTGACACCAGAAAGCACTATGGAGGCTCAGGGATCTAGACACTGATATGGAGACAGAAAGATCCCAACACAGGCACTGGGGGGACTCCGAGAAGATGCAGAGGTACGTGTTGCATCCAACTCACAGGAATGAGGAACAATTGGACACCAACATCTACATAAAAGAATAGATGAGAGGATGAAGGGTTGGATACAGAAATTTATGCTGAGAAAGAAACAAAACACTTGATTTTCAATTTTCCAGTCAGCACCCTGCTCTCCTGTGCTGTTTCAATAAGAGGAGGCACTAGGTGGCATCATACCACCAAAAGTCCTCACCCTGCAGAGCCTCGGGGAAACACCCAAGACTGTGCCAGGCCCTAGTTCAGACAAGTCAGAGCGCTTCCACTCATCTCATTTCTCATTACACCCACTTAATTAATTTCTTGAACACCTACTGTATGCCAAGCCCTATGCTGTAGACTGTGAAGAGAGAACACCCAAGGAGCTAAAGACAGGATCTCTCTACATGAGCATAAGCAAAAGCAAAGCGTGCGTGCTACCTATCCCTCACAAGAGAGTTGTTAAAACAAAGGAGGGATGTATAAGCGCTGAAATGAGGATCTCAGGACACAAGGTCCCATGTAATCTTTTTTACCTTAACTCCTTGAATATGTCATGTTCTTCCCCACTGCCTGCGATTTACAAACACTGGTCTCTCTGTCTGGAATACTAGAGTCTCCCTCTTGAACTGACTGACTCCTATCCACCCTTGCTTCAGATCTCAAATCCTCATGGAGATCTCTCCTGACCAGCCCCAACACCAGATTACCTCTCCACATATCAAATACTTCTTGGACCATCCCACAATGGCAGTTGATGATCTTGTCATGCACATGGTTGTTTGATGTTTGTCTTCTCTTCACAGGCAAGAGGACAATGATCCCATAGGTGATAACAATGATCCCAACCCTCTGCCCACCAATGTTGGGTTTATGAGCTAAATTTGTGTCCCCCCAAATTCATATGTTGAAGTTCTACCCCTCAGACCTCAGAACATGACTATTTGGAGGTAGAACTTTCAAAGAAGTGATTCAATTAAAATAAACCTTTTAGGGTAGACCCTAAACCAGTCTGATTGGTGGTCCTAAAGAAAAGTTTAGACAAACAAGGGAACACCAGGAATATGTGCACAGAGTGAAAAGACAAGAAGGAACCAACTCACCTGCAAGTCAAGGAAAGAGGCCTTGGGAGAAATCAAACTTGCTGACCTGTTGATCTTGGACTTCCAGTCTCCAGTACACAAGGAAATAAATTTCTGGTTTTTAAGCCACCCAATCGGTGGCCCTTTGTTATAATAGCAGCCCTAGAAAACCAGGGTAACTGGCTGAAACTGTGCTCAGCAAATCCCTATTGAGTGAATGACTATGGAATGAGTTCTAAAATAAAGAAGTGAGCACTGATATATTGGGGAAAGATAACTAGTAGAATGGCTCTTGAACTTGACCTTAACTAATATGTGTTAGAGACATAGAACAAAACAAAATCCAAAGTATGGGAAAGAGCATTGGGCAGACACCAAAGCAAGACTGTAAAAATCCTGCTATCTGGGACCAATGGACACTAATGTTGATAAAGAGGCAAGGTGAATGGTAGAAGGCCTTGAAAGAGCAGCAGAGAAGTGGCTACAAGCTCAAGGACCATAGACAGACAAGGGTGCGCCATTTGTTCTACCCGATGACTCAAATACATAATCATGAGCTGTGATACCACCACAAAGCTCCTTGGTTAAACACTTATCAGTGCCCTTCTGGGACTTCACACGGCAGAAAGAACAGTCAATGTGCCAGGCGCCCATCTCTTCAACAGTACCCAGTGAGAATATAAAGCAAACCTCCAGAAAAGCAGGAACACTGTATGCAGCCCTACACACAAATTCCCAGCCAGCAGTGCAAAGCAACTGTGCCCTAAGAGAACTCACGCTTTTAATGCACCACAGAGGCCCTTACGGCTATTTGGGGGGAGTCTGCACCATCCAAGCTCTCCAAGGCTAGTAACCCCCAAGAGGTGGGTGCCCCCCAAACGCAGTTGCTCTGGGGATCCCTGCCTACCTCCTTGGGACCAAGCTGTATGAGTTAGGTGTGGAAACCTGGCCACGTGAGGCCAATTGTAGCCTTTTTTCCTGGGAATGTTTAAGGAGGACCAAGAACTGCAGGTCGGTCATTGCTGGGGCCTAAATCTGACCATGAGAATCCCAGGAGAGTCAGAGAAAGGCAGCTGCTTAGAGGGACGAGGAGGACAGTGAATGGGGAGGGGAGGTCACAGACCAACAAAAAGGAGGGAGAGCTGAGGCAGGGGTCTTCTTGGTTGCTGATGCCTCTTCAGATCCGGTACTGGGTCCTGGGAAGAGCTGCATTATTGGTTCTCTTGGGTTCTCCTAGATATGTTGTCTTCCCTAATAAAAATCACCTTATTTGTTTAAGCCAGATGAAGTGAATTTTCACTGTGTATTAACGGCCCCCCAAGTCCTGACCAAAAGGGGTCTTCTTTGCATAGGCATTCTTATGATATTGCTGGATTTACTATCCATGAAATCTATAAACTACATTTGAGCCCCAAATGGCATGGTAAAAACCACTCCAGTCATCGTGTCTAACAGTTCTCCTCCGGGCTGTTGGGAAGATTAAAGGCCTATATGTTACAGAAAATTGTTATCATTTATCAGCCGACCCTGTGGTCACCTTAGATGACAGAGCAGAGTCCCAGCTGGCGAGTGCTTTCCACCACTGTGCGGAGCATATTTTATTCCTTTAATCTCCACCTTTTCCAGCCCGCTGCAGACCTAACTTAACAGAACGTTTGTTGAGCATATGACACCAGCTCCCAAAGGGTCTCCAGACAAACTCCCCTCTTGATACCCGAGGAGGCAACAAAGCTCAGGTAGATTTATTAGGAAAACGGGAAGGTCAGATGCAGTAACAGCTGGGGAATGGCCACAGCAGGCGATCATTTTTACCAGAACTGCCAGGTTTCATAACCACCTAGTCATCTCACCTGACTGAAATTTTATTGGATTATCTGCAGCTGCTCTTCTCCCATCAGATTCCTTCCAGACACGGCTGGTTAGGCTGCCTTGTTTGGTTCGCGATCCTTAATCCACAGGCCAAGGCTGCAGTTTGATGGACCACTAGGACCAGCAAGGACTTGCGTAGACCCACCAGCTGCCCAGATGGCTTAAAAAGACCAACTGGCTCCACAATGTCAGTTCCCACTACAGATCCGTAAGCAAAAACATGCTTTTTAACATCAGAGCACACATACGTTTGATGCTGGAAGAGGAAGGCTTTGACTTCTAGGGTCTCCTGAAAGCACTGTACTCTCTGACACCTCCAGACGTCACAGGTGCTGGTCCCTCTGTCTTCCTCACTGTCTCGTTGCCCTTTCAAGAGTCAGCTCAGTGTCTCCTCCCCTTCCCTGGGCTGCTAGGAATCCTGAACACCCCTCTGTCAGTTCACTGGCTTGTACTTGTGGGTGTGCTTCTAAGTCTCCCCACCAGCCTGGGAGGACCAGACTTGTCCTCGATGTACCTGTGCTGCTGCTGTGCCATACACAGGAGACAATCAAGATAGAAAGTTTGATGAAAGAATGGGAAATGCAGTTAGCTCAGACATCCGGGCACAACAATTATCCTTGGGAGTGATTAGTGGCTAAGGAAGTTAAAGCTGTGTCGCAGTCATCTTCTCGTCCTGAGACACAAGACCCGATACCCACAATTCAAAGGAAAAGGTTTATTTGGGCTCAGTTTGTAGAGGTTTCAGTCCACTGTGGGCTGGCTACAGGGCAGCGTGGCACGGCAGAGGGGCATCACAGCACAGGCGCGCTCCTGGCATGGCGGACAGGAAGCAGAGGTGACGAAGGGAGATAACCCCTTTCAGGCCACATCCCCCGTGACCACCTCCTTCTAGCTACAAACTTTTAAAGAACTGATTTTATTGGTAGACTGTAGATATGCATAATGGTAACATTCACCCGAGGGGATCTGCACCTGTACGTGAGACACCTTGCATCTTTTTTCTCATTCCTCTCCCCTCCCTTCAGCCTCTCTTCCCCTCCTTACTTACAAAAACGTTGTTTCCATTTTTCCTTCATTCTCTTTTTTTCTTTTCCTGTCTTTCCTTTCCCCCTCCCTGCTCCCTTGTGCACCTTCCCATTGGAACATTTTCTTCCTATTTCACAATATCTATTGTACATTTGGGTCCTTATTTACCCTTTCAGTTTCTCACACCAGAGAAACAATGC